CAACATCAACAATGGAAACACCGATAACCATAACAACAACAACAACAACTACAACAACAACTACAATAACAACAACTACAACAACAATCCAAATTATTATTCTCACCGTTCTAACCAGGCCCAACTCAATCAGAATGGAATTGTTGACGGCAGTAGAGGGCCGCACGTCGGCTCATCCGCGTCTGATCTGATCATCAAGGAACAACAACCGCCCTATGTCAATGGGGTCGATTTGAAGGTTTTGGAAGAGGGAAAAGATGTCAGCTCGATGAATGAGGCCCACTATGGAGGAGAGTCCCACCAGGGTCTGGAGGGAGATCCGCCGGAGATCACACGTTAGTTCTCTACTTTGTCGCAAATAAAATTTGCGTCTGTGTAAACATTTCACGAAGGTACCTATGAAATCATTTCATTGGTAATTGATGGGAATAATTTTTTGCAGATATCGTAACGCTGGAAGATTTGAAACTCCTGCTGATCAACGTGCAGAACAGTTTGAATGAACAGGTTGGCAATTAAAAAACACACATACATATAGACATAATATATTAATCAAATAAACAATGAATGAATCAAACAAACAATGAAACAAACAAACAATGAAACAAACAAACAAACAAACATAACAATTGCGACAGATAAGCGAGACAAAGAGACTGCGAACCGTATTGGAATCGTGCGGTATGTGTGCCAGTCGAGATAGCGGCTACGACAATGAAGTCACCGGCGAAAGAAATCCCTGCTATCCCCACAATCCCTGCTTCCATCTATCCCAATGCTATCAGGATAGTTCATCTTACCAGGGATTTAGATGCAGTCCCTGTCCGAACGGATACATGGGTGATGGGATGTACTGCAGGCCTATTTCTTGCCAGGATGGCCCGTGCTATCACGGTTCGATTTGGTATTTTTGTAAAAATAAAATAAAAAATGAAATAAAATATTTATTAATATGAAATTATGAAATAAAATTTGTTTGTTGTATTTTCTTTATTTCATCTAATATTTAATTGAAAGCCGAAAAAATAAAATTACTTGCCGTAGTTTAAACATCATAGCAGCGCATGTACAAACCAACTTTTTTTTATTAATAAACGAGTTTGACGCATTTTGAATACGACGTATCAACTCAATTTTTATGATTTTAAAAATTTTTCTTACAAACAAAATTAACTCAATTTTTAACTGAGTTAACAAGCAAACAAACAAACACACAAACAGATGTGCAATGTTTCGACGTGGCAGTGGGAGACGTCAGGTGCGGGCCGTGCCCTGAAGACATGACGGGCGATGGAATAACATGCACCAAATTGCCAAACAAATGCGCCGACCCTGACTTCTGCTATCCCGGGGTCAAATGCACCCTCAGTTATTACGAGCCCAAATGTGGACCATGTCCGGAAGGTGAGAGTTTGATTTTTTGCTATTTTTCAATCAACTGTTCACTCCTTCGATGATCCTGAATTTGAGATTAAAATTATATTTTGTATAACATTATGGTAAAATATTTATTAAAAAATTCAAAAACATTATGGTGAAATATTTATTTTTGACAAATTAAACATACTTTGAAGGTTACATCGGTGACGGGATCGGTCCAGAAGGCTGTCGCAGGCGTCAGTGCTCAGACATCCGCTGCTACAAGGGAGTCGAATGCGTTTACGAGAACGACATTCCGAGGTGTGGAGGATGCTTGAGGGGTTACATCAAGAACAGCAGAGGAAAAGGTTGCATCCCGAAGGATTGTAGCGCCAATCCATGCGTCCCGGAAGTGCTTTGTTACAACGACACCACACGTGGATACAAATGCGGATCGTGTCCTGAAGGAATGACCGGAAGTGGCGATAAGTTGCACGACGGATGCAGGTATCAAACTTGCAATGAAGGATATTGTTATCCTGGTTCCCTCTGCGAAGATACTCCAAACGGTCCAATGTGCATCAAGTGTCCGGATCATCTGATTGGGAGTGCAGTCGGGCCTCAGGGATGTAGGAGAACAGCGTGCAGTGATATTCAGTGTTATCCCGGTGTTCAATGTATTGAGACTAGAGATTATCCCATCTGTGGACCGTGCCCTGAAGGTTGGATACAAAATTACTTAATTCGAATGATCTCCATTTAATATTTTGTATCCGAACTTTTTAATTACACGCAACAATATCTCCATAAATTCAGGATTAATTGGAAATGGGCATGTAGATGGGTGTCGAAGGATTCAATGCCAGGATAATCCGTGCTTTCCGGGCGTCCAGTGTACACCTGTCGTGGAGGGCTACGTGTGTGGACCCTGCCCCGTCAACATGACGGGCAACGGTCAAAGAGATGGATGTAGATTTCTAAGGTAGTGGCACTTTGTTATTTGTTTTTCGCGCTTCAATTAGTCTCTATTTTCCACATTCATTGATAATTTGTGTTAGCTAGTTATAATTTTTACCTTTCATTTATGTAAAACTGTTTTAATGTTTTTCTTTTAAACGAAGAATAGAGTTTACAATGAAATAAAATTTTGATGAATTAAATCGATCGCAGAGCTAATTAACTTACTTTACATACTTTATTACTTAATTAAGTAACTAATTAATCAATTAAAAATTTACTTAATCACCCAAAATTTTTCCATTTTTTCCATCATTAGTTGTTCCGACTCGCCATGTCCGTCTGGAACCGTATGTGAGGCCGATCAAAGCGTCGGACACAGATGCATCGCTTGCCCTCCACGTAGTTCTCGGAAGGAATGTCGCAGAGAGCAAGGTGTGTCCTTGATGATGGTGTTTGTGTTGTTGTTGTTATTGTATTGTGAATATATAAATTCATAGTTAATGTAGTTGTCTATGTTGTCTATGTTGATAATGTTGTTGCTGTTGATGATGATAGTGTGGTTAGTGTTGTTGGTGTTTGTGTTGTTGTTGTTGATGAGTTTTTGTTACGAATATATAGAATAAATTTAAAGCTAATGTTGTCGTTTATGTTGTTAATGTTGTTGTTGTAATTGTTGTTGTGATTGTTGTTGTTGTAGCTGCTGTGGCTGCTAATATCGTCGTCGTCGTCGTAGTTTTTACAAAATTTTCTTTTCACGTCCTATCAAATCATTCGCATCCCATTATGCTATTAATAATAAAGTACAATCAATCAATCATTTATCGATTTGGTCTGGTTGTTTGATGTATGTGGGGTTTGCAATGTGTATGTTGTACGTAATGTTTATTCAAGATAACATTAGCATTGTTTGACATTCATTTTCATGTTGTTATCATTATACTATCAAAAGTCTTACACAAATAACTGTTGTTATTGTTGTCTGTTGTTATTATTATTGTTTATTGTTATTATTATTATTATTTCTGTATACTGTTAACTGCTGTGGTATAATTTTTGGTGTAACTTTAAACTGAAATTTGTAACATTCTTTCTGAATGAACTAAAGACAACACCTTAATTGTTCCCTAATGTAATTTTGAAATTTATACATTATCAACTTTATCTCTCCCATCCTCTCTCCTCTCTCTCTCTCTCTCTCTTCGTTTTGTTTTTTCTTCCTTCTTTTTTTGCAATATATTACTATTGATATTATATATTTATATTATATTGTTATATTTATATAGATATATTAATATATCAAATCAAAATCAAATCAAAAATACTTATATAAAAATATATTAAAATATATATAAAAAAAATATTAAAATATATACTATATTATGGTTATATTTATTTAAAATAATAAAATCCACAATCCACCAGACATCGCGCCAAAGACGTGCATCGATCTTAAATGTTTTCCGGGTGTCCAATGCACCGAAACTCCAGAGGGACCCAAGTGCGGCAGCTGCCCTCGAGGAATGCACGGAGATGGTACACTGAGTGGGTGCCATGTCTTGAGGTGTGTGTATGTATGTATATATGTGTGTGTGTAATGTGTGTGTATGTGATGTGGGTATATGTGTATGTATGTACGTATGTAAGTATGTGTATGTGTGTGTACGTATGTGTATGTGTGTACGTGTGTAAGTAATGTGTATGTAAGTGTGTATGTGGGTTTGTAATGTGTATGTGTGTGATGTGGGTGTGTGTGTATGTGTGTGTTTATGTGCGTGTGTGTGTGCTGTGCGTGTATGTTTGTGTTTGTGTGTTTGCGTGGGTTTATTGGTTGATATTTTATGTATCAGTTAATTCGTTTGTCTGCGAGTGCATATTTTAAAATTGCGGTTTCTTGTTCGTGAACGTTTCTTCATAGTGTTTATTTACATGCATACGAACGTTGAATCATTTCAAATGCCTGGCATATCTTAAATTGTTCAATTGTTATTTGAGAGCTATTTATCAATTCAATTAAAAAATCTAAAACCACGCACTGATTGGTGACAACTAACATAAACAAAAACACGATACACACACACACACACAAACAATAAACATGATACATAAACAAACAACAATAAACATGATGCATAAAAAAACATGATACAAAGAAACAAAACATGATACAAAGAGACAAAATATAGATACAAAGAAACAAAAGATGGATACGAAGAGACAAAACATGGATACAAAGAAACAAAACATGATACAAAACAAACAGATCATGATACAAAACAAACAGAACATGATACAAAACAAACCTACAAACAAACAGATGCAACGTGAAACCTTGCCATGCCAACCTGACGTGCCACAACGAACGCAGGGGTGTCAGGTGCAGTGCTTGCCCCCCTGGTTTCACCGGCGACGGCCTCACCATCTACGGAGATCCTGGATGTTCTCCCATTCCCATTCCTAAATGCACTCCCAATGTCTGCTATCCGGGGGTCCAGTGCACGGATGACCCAATTAAGGGACCTCAATGTGGAAAGTGCCCCTCCAAAATGGTGGGCAATGGAAGAAAGAATGGATGTCGAAAAATGAGGTTTGAAGAATTATTTTAAATGTACATTCTTAGACTCGTGTATGTTTCTACCGTATTCATTATTTTATTGCGCTTATACTAACACCACATTTTTAAATTTTCCAGGTGTATAGACAATCCCTGCCACGATGGAGCAACCTGTCTAGACTCTGACCAGGGCTACAAGTGCAAATGTCCTGATTGGATGACAGGGACTGGGGAGAGAGGACAAGGATGTACCGCCATTGCTAAAGAAACCTGCACCCCAAGCCCGTGCTACGCTAATGTTCAGTGCACTATGAATGACACGTTGGGGCCCGTTTGCGGTCCCTGTCCCAATGGTTTGAAGGGGGATGGATACGTCTGTAACGATATTGACGAGGTAAAGTTTGTTGTTATTTATTTCACAATTTAGACGATTTACATTCTCAATTTAATATTTTTCTATACGAATTTACGAAATATAATACTAACAACTGAAGTTATACATTAATTAATTTCTCAATTCACTGTAAAATATTTGAGCAAGATTTATGTTTGCAGCTTTTAATTCACTGTTGACTAGTTAAAATGTTACTTTAAAACAAATGTCATCATACTAAAAAATTAACTCTTCCACATTATGAAACAACAAAACGAAGCACATAACAAAAACAAGCACCTTGGCAAATCTATTCGTCATATTTTCACATTTTAAAATCCTAATTTTTTTTTTCACCATTTTTCACCAGTGTAAAGATTACCAGCCCTGTGACCCGCTAACGAAGTGCACCAACCATCACGGTGGATTCACCTGCTCCGACTGCCCGTCTGGTTTCGTAGCTACCTTCACTAAAATTGTCAATCAGACGGATGGTCCTAGGCTGACATACACTGTTAGCCTTTCATTATACCCATTAAATATAATACAATATTTTCTTATTTTTCTCACCAATGTGATACAAGCTAATGATAAGAAGACTGTGATAGAGCTTATTGAGGAACTCATCTAGCACCCATTAAAACGAATCATTAAATAACCAATACTACTAATATTACTGCTAATAATTGTTTGTTAATATTTTCTTTTCCAAAAAATCACATCTGAAATATCACATTTGAAATATTACAAAAGATAGATTAATTTTATTTAAATGTTTTTTAACGACAGCGCTGCAAAGATATAGACGAGTGTTCGACGGCCAGAGACAACTGCACATTGTATTCTGAATGTATCAACACTGTGGTATGTTGACGTTATTAACTCGATCCATAATTCATTTTATAATTAGTAATCATCCCATTCATCTCATAATGCATGAAAATTATCGCATAAAGTTTCTACAAATTATCCTTTAATCCATAGCACTAATCATTTCATAATTAGTAACCATTCATCTCACTTATCCCAAAGTTATCCCATTCGAATGATCCCATCTACAGGGAGGATTCTACTGCGGAAAATGTTTGGATGGTTACGAGGGGAACCAGACATCCGGATGCCAGCCAATCGCTGTGACGTGCGGCAAGAATCGAACCTTGTGCCATCCCTATGCCAAGTGTGTCAGGATGTCCAATCTAGATGACGATGTTTGCTCTGTGAGTTATGATGATGATGATGATGATGGTGGTGGTGGTGGTGATGATGATGATGATGATGATGATGATGATGGTGATGGTGATGATGATGGAAACTATGATGATAATGATGGTGATGATGATGGTGATGGTGATGATGATGATACTACGACTGCAGCTGATGATGATGGTGATGATGATGATGGAAACTATGATGATGATGATGACGATGATGATAATTAAAAAGATTACAAATCGTGAAAATTAAAAGTCTCGAAAATTTTTTCCAAACAGTGTCAAAAGGGTTTCGGTGGTGACGGTGCTGTCTGCGGTGTTGATAGTGATCTCGACGGCTGGCCTGATGATGATCTCGATTGCCATGATAAGAAGTGCAGAAAGGTGATGATGTGATGATGTGATGATGTGATGATGTCATATTGTGATGATGTCACGTTGTGATGATGTCAAGTTGATATGTTGTGATGATGTCACGCTGTGAGGATGAAGTGATAAGGAAATTTTAATTGTAATATAATATTATGTAATGATCTGATGTGAGTGGCCAACCAACCGATCAATCATCGACCAGTCAGCCGGTCAACACGATCAACCAACTGATTAATCAGCCAGTCACAACCATACAATTCATCCATCAACCACTACCAGTCAATCAGTCAACCACCTAACCAAAACCAATCAATCACCTAACATATCAATCAACTAGATATAAACCAACCAATCACGCTCAATCAACCAACCAATCATAGTCAATCAACCAACCAATCACAATCAATCAACCAACCAACCAATCACAATCAATCAACCAACCAATCACAATCAATCAACCATCCAACCAATCACAATCAATCAACCAACCAATCACAATCAATCAACCATCCAACCAATCACAATCAATCAACCAATCACAATCAATCAACCAGCCAACCAATCACAATTAACCAACCGACTAGGATAATGT